TGAAACACCTGTAGCCTCACTGGCTGCCTCACAGCTTTGCAAAGTTTTATTAACTGCACTGAAAATTTTTTTGATATGCTGGATGTAAGAGGACAGACCTCACTGAGTTCTCTGCCCCTGTGTCACACGATCCATGGTGACCCACATTAACACAGCTTTGCAATACTCCTAACGTTATTATTTAACAGCTCTACAAAATATATTGTGGAACTTAGGCCATAATATATATTGATTTACATAACTGAAAAATTATTTCTATAGCTGACAGTTGTCAGAGACCTAACAGAAAAAAAATACTGCAGAGAACCCTGTGGGTAATTTAATGTGAAACTATCCATACTTCTAAAGTATCAGTGTCTTACACTGATAAACTCAAAAAGTTTATCATTAGCTTCATATTCAAATTTTGATGAATATTTACTTACCTGAGCTTTGATAAACTTCCTGATATTCCTATGAGTTCGGCAGCATTCAGTTAATAAACTGAGAACTGGAGTCAGACCTTCTCTATAGCTGCTTCCCTAAAATAAAACCAAATAAAAATAAAACACTTTTAAGAGCAAATTTTCATTTTTTAAATACTATAAACCCTTCAATGAAGTCCTATATGACAGTCAAAACATGAACTTCATACAGACATAAACAAAGATCTAAACGTTCATCCTCACACACAAGCAAATATGCTTCAGATATTCACAGGAATTTGTTCTCAATTTTGAGGTTTTTCACAGTCTAGAAGCAAGGACATCCGTATTTGTGCTAAATACTGTCTGAAAGGTCTGTAAGAAGCTTTACATGTGTGCAATTTTGCTTTAATGAGAGAGGCCCCTTTTGTGAAAAAATCTTTGCAGCTCATACCTTGTCTATTCTCTTCTCCATGAAATCCAGTAAAATTTGAATTGCTCTCATATTCATACCATTGTATTTTATATCTGTTTCCTCTTGGGATGATGGACTAATAAGAACATCCAAGCAAGAAACGGGAACATTGCTTAAGAGGTTGATTGCATTGCTGAAACAGATTTTAAAAATTCATTATTCATTTGGAAGAAAGAATTAAAAACAGAGTACAACTCCCCATAAACTGTTTATACAACTGCAACCAAAAAGAGGCCCTGCAACTCAAAACAATGCTTTATTTGCCACTCTCTGGGTTTTAAAGAAGGTGGTATGCTTTATCGCCCAAGTGCTGGCTCTTGGAACAAACAAGGAAGAAGAAAGACAAAAAGCTCCAAAAGCTGTACTGCAGCAGTGCATCATTACTTCCAACCTCCCCAGTACCCTCTCCCATAGATAAGGCACAGCTTCCAGCAGTGTGTTACAGCAGCTGATCTTGCAGGACAGCAGGGGGAACTCTCACATCGATTTGCAGCAGTCAGAGTTCTTTTCCCTCCTTGAAACTCAAAACATTTTACAGTGCATTCGTATTACCAGCATTAATGTGACAAAGTACACCACAGAAAACATTCCCTCCTCCTATCACAGCGAGGTGCAGTGGCAATTTCTCAGGTCCCCTGAAACACTTCCACTTCTTCCTAGCTTGTAGTGCATAGGAAATACAGGCGGCTTTTAACATATTAAAAAAAAAAAAATGCAGGTTTATTTACTAAGCACTACCTTTCAGTAACTAGCAGACTGCATTCTACAAAGGACAAAGAGAAGCGCTTCCCAAATATCCATTAAGTGATTTAAATTAGACCGCAGGGTCCCTCCCTCCCTCCTCTTTAAAGGAGTAAGATGGAACTTACTTTGCAGGGGTCTCTGGTATGGTACACATCCCCTGAGTTTGCTATCTACCTGTTCTCATTATACAGACTTGCGTTTGAATTCTTCCTGAATATAGGGCTAAATTACACAGATGCTGCAAAAATTAGAATTCTGTCATTATTTACTTGCTGATGCCCAACTAAACTTACAAATGGATATATTCAGAAATACTACAGGACTATCTAGGTTTGCATGCAGACCTCAAAGCTATCAACGAACTATTAGGACCGATGTTTCAAGGACTGGTGAAGTGTTTCAAGAATAGAGAAAACTTTTCAAACAACTTCATTTAATGCTTTTAAAGCTTCCCTCAGTTTTTATGTTATTAATACAATTCTAACAAAGAATTAGAATAAGAGAAAGTAAATCACAGCAATCAAACGTAACAGGATTTCTAACAAATGTGCTAGTTTTGGTCTGATCAGACTGGGTGGCTGTTCCACATTGTGCCATCTCACTTTTGGTCTTTTTGCAACTGAAATTCAGACACCTACTACTTTTTGGAAAGCTTGTTTGCTTTGTTTTCTTTCTAATTTGTTTAAGATATGTCTTTTATACCATGGAAGTTATTCCTCTCCAATAATTCAGGAATAGCCAGAAACAAAACAGACTGAAATTCAACAAATATTTGGTGGCTTCAGGCCTTTCATCAAAAGTTCTCTTTTTACCAGTTTCTTATTAAACAACCAAGTTCCCAAACACCTACAAAATTAATTTTCTGGATCACTGTGTCTGAGCTATTCTTTTCAATAAATGAAGCTCGGCTTTCTGATCTTTGTCACTCCACTGACAGTTTTATTTGTGGAAGAGGAGTGTATGAAATTCTCCAGCTACCAGGAAGTCAGTGACTATGCACAGATCTGCACAATAGTGTTTGCATTCCTACTCCAGGGGGTAGAAATACTGCGTATATTACTCTCCCCTTTTCGGCTGCCTAGAGATCATTAATCACTAGGACATGACATCCACCCACTCATGCTCCCAGCCCCCTCCTGATATGCAAATTCAGAAGCAAAGACCTATTTAGAGCTGCTGAATGCCTTGATTAAAACCTTGTTAGTGGGCAAAAATGGCACTCACTCTAATATGTGGTGCTTTAAGCTGTTCATATTCAAATGTTAAGTAATGACATGACAGAACCACAATAATGACATCAATACCAGGTGCTAAATTATTTAAGATTTTTTTTTTTTTGAGGTAACTTCTACTTATTTATTAGAAATAGAGTCACCCTGACAATCAGTACGTCACAGCTCAGGGCATGTACCCAACACCTGATGCTTGCATAAAACAAACTCTCAACACATTTAGAGCACAAGTGTTTATACAACACACTTTAACAGGCTGCCTGAACCCTTCACTTAAGCATCTTACATTCTGCAGATATACAAACTTAGAGAAGTGCAAGTGATGAGCAACTTTAAGAAATAATACTTATGCTTCCCTGATGCTTCGTAAAGTTTATTCTGCATCCAAGACTATAATTGCCTTACTGATAGGCTCCAGGTGGAACACAGAGCGAGAAGTTGCACTCTGCTCTCTGTCTCACACCTCATCTCTGGCAATATAGATTGCACCATCAGAGTCCAGCATACTGAACAGCCCAAATGATGACACAGCCCCAGAGTTTTTAGCAATGCTATGTTAGCTATAGACCACTAACACAGGTTTACTCATTCATTATTGAAGCTCCTACCAGGAACGAAAGTTTCACTTGACCAAATACATCAGGGGACTAAGTGGGACCCTCTGATCCAGGCCCCTGATCCTTCTGATGATTTGCAGAAGCATTAGTTCTGACTATACCTTTTCCATTCCAAAGCTGCCTCATGATGAATAATCTTGGTGGAAAAGCATATTAAATTACTCAGCTTTTACTGCATTCTGTAGCATTCAAAGACAAAACTCAGGTTTTGCAAACGGGCTGAAATATGTGAATTGCAGAAGTCAAAACTGTGCAGTGCTCTTCTAGCATGTTAAGAAAAAAGAGCCTGAGTATGACATGAATCAAAATCGAATGCGACACAGAACAATACCACACTTGCAGTCTTTCTCCTATCACCTCGAGCTAAACAAACTAGCTACAGTTAGCTACCAGAGGGAGAAAGTTGTTTCCCAGCATAACAGAAAGACTGAAACAGTGTTACACTGCGTCTGATGGAGAAGGGGAAGTGACACAAGCCAGTGATAACCATCCTCATTTCTTTTCTGCTTCCCCTTTTCAGAATTACGGGGAATCCTTGCCTTGACTTGGTGTCTCCACAAGGTCCGCATGGGCAGCATGTCTACACAAAATACTTCTCCTGACTGAAAACAGCAGGGACAGAAATCACACCAATACTACGTATTCTCCACAGCTGCCTACTTCTATATGGAAAGCCCTTTTTGGATGTCATCTGCAAGTGTTTGCAAAAGCTAAAAGCAAAAGGACCTGCATAACATGCATCCTTTGGCAACAGCACACGACAATTAAATTTTTCAAGGTGATATATGTTACACGGTGATGAGACTAGTCAGATTCCTGGACAAGGAAACAGAACATGTTTTCACGGGAAGAGCACCAGCTGTATAGTAATGCACCAGAATACCAGGCAGTCTGACTGACTGCATACAAGTTTAAATGCTAAAAGACCATCTCTGTCTTCTTCTAGTTGTTGAACTTATCCAAATCTGTTATTTTCCCAGCAGTGGGGAACTTATTCCCACTAGTCTCTCCCTTAAAAGAGGATGAGTGTGCAAAACACTCGCCACAAGCAGCAGCAAAGAGAAAGCACCGACTGCCTTTCAGGACACACTCAGCACTAACTTCAGTCATGGCAACTACTGCAGCGGTATCCTAAATTATTCCAAACTAGTCTGCATCAACTGAGAAGGGCTCTGATGTAGAATTTCAGTGTTCACCTACTAACACTGCTGATCTCCAAGAGCTTTCCAAGATTTCAATCAAGTTCATTTAACACTTTCAAGACTGCTAGGTGTGAAAAGCTATATCCTTCCTTCTTGGAGATCGCTGCTTCAGAAGATGATCTTCGAAAGATCCTACACTTAGATATACAGACATCTCTGAAGAAGAAAATGGCAACATCAACTTTCATTGCCAAGAGTGTTTGAAGCTAATGTAATGTCCAGCCCTGTGAACAGCTGACCTACTTCGATAGAAATAAGGGTGTCATGGAAAAAAACAGTAACACTGAACAGAGAACCACCACCTCACTAAAAATATTCTGAGTTTTGATTGAATTATTGGCTGCAAATACATAGGGAACAGTTCAGTGCAGGACTGAGGAAAAAAAACCCAATCCACCTAAAACCGCAAGACCAGGGAACTGATATTTGTACTTTTAATAAAGCAGTCTAGAACTATTGGAGATAAAATATCAACTTGTTACTTCCATCTCAATCCATCAGAATTAACGAGTTACATACAAAAATCTGAAAATGTAGCTTTTCCATCAGCTTCTCTGCAAAATAACAGAAGTTTCATTCCAACTTCAATTTGCACTACCCCTAGAACTTCTGTATGTGTTTTCATCCTCAGTTACACACACACATAAGATTTCAAAAAGGTCAGCTTCAATATTATTGATCAAAAATAGCAACCTTGCCAGCCACTTTTTCTCTGGAATAGTGGACATGCTTAAACAATATCTCAGGGAAACAGCTTCCATCAAAAAGATTAATAATATTTTACTCAGAATTAATAGTTTTCATTGTTTCTCAGATTTCCACTTTAGATTTCGGGCAAAGTAATTCTTTTTCTATTTTTTTTTAAATAAATAACCTTTTAAAATAGATTGGTTCTGCAATTCTACCAACCTGTGCAACTCTTCAGTTTTGTCTTCAGTAGGGCCCGTGGTTAATAAGCAGTGTCGAAGGATGGCAGCCATGTAACGAAATTGATGAGATTCATTCTATATAAATACAAATTATGAAGATATATTTTCATTTTGAAGATTGCAAGTGGGAGTTTCAGGTCACTAGAATAATAAAAATTAAAGATGGAAAATACCTATTAGATCGTAACATCCATCCCTGTCAATAAAAGGACTGTACCTTAGAGTTCACTGAATGCTTAATGCAACATAACTGTCACATGCTGGTCTTTTAACTAGACCTTGTAAGAGTCACTGGGGACTTTTTTCCAGCTAAATGAGCCTTTACTACCAGAAAACTCTGTTACAGGCATTCGATCAATTCCGTGCCTCTGTTCCTAATATACCACTATCATCTTCCTATATTTACATCCGGCCACCTCTTCATCCATTTAGATTTTGTACGTTCTTAATTTAATTTGCTTTCTCCTCATTTAGACCTTTGGCTGACAACAGTTTCATTCCCCCACCCAATCTGTTTCTTTCTCTACTTGACTTACTTCTTTTCCCTTCATACTTTTTCTCCATTTCCTTAACAACCTCTCTACTAGCAGAAACCTTATTTGCCCTACTTTTGCTCTCTCTAAGCAATTCCCCTTCCAATCTCCCACCAGACGGCAGCCACACAAAAGTACACAAGTAACTGCAATCATTTAACTGTGTGTATCATTGTCCTGGTCCTTTTTTCATTAGCTTTTCTTGGCATCCATCATATGTTCTGGTGTGTTTGACCTAGCACAAAGCGCCCCAATGCATCTTTTGTAACATCAGCATCCAAATCTGCCAACTGTACCACCTGCGGCTCTTGTCTGGCTTTGCTACTTTTAAACCATCTCCAGTCATTAAATATTGGTGTTTCAAACGGTTCTCTACTGCTTAGGACAGATCTCATTTAGTTTTCTACCCACACGTCTAACCTCTCTGGTCTCCTTCTATTTTCCATCCTGTCTAGTGTTTGTAATCTCTTCAAATCCTGTATCTTCAGCCAGTGTAATTAACATGCTGTTTACTCTTCTTACAGATCATTAATATTTCCACAGGGACACTTGCTAAGCAGAATGCTACCTAACACATCTGGCTAACAGTTTACAAGTACTAAAGAGCTCTAATTTAAGGGTTGCTTGCTTTTAGGAACTTCTAGTAAAGAGTTATTATATAAGCTTTATCTCAAAACACAAAACAAGCTTCTCCCACTCCAGAAAGTCTTAAACTCTCATCCAAATTAAAAATATAAAATAAAATAAAATAAAATGTACTAATGCCAGAATTTCCTCTGATCTGAAGGGAGTTCTCCTGACAGCTGCGTGACTGGGCACTTTGGGAGGAAAAGTTCTGTGGGACAAAACTTCCCTCATTCCACACACAGCAGCTAAACAAAACCTCATCAGGTAAAACCACAACTGTGTGGCACCTCCCTCTTGCCTTTCTGCGGTCAACTGGGCTTTTAATTTCTCAAGATTGCCAGTATTTTGTAAGAGTATACCAACTTCAAGATTCAGATTTAAAGAGCTAGCTTCTCCAGAGAAGATATCACTTGACGTGATATCCTCCACACAGTACTTAATCACAAAGATGATAGTTGTCAAACTCTGAAATAGCAAACATTCATACAGCTGTGTTATATGCTTAACTTGGGTCAAGTTTTGCCACTTAAGTTCCTATCTCCATAACAATTATTTGTCTATTAAAAGAACTTTCTCTGAGAAAGTTAAAGGTATTTTTAATAAAGGTCTAAGTCAGGGATAAAAACAAGAGGAAAACCCTTCACTTTCTTCGTATTTCCTTGAAATTTGACGTATTAACTTTTCCGATTTTTTTCTCCCCCACTCAATCTTAAAGTTCAAGATTTCTTATTCGGAGTATCCTTGAGATATTAATGCAAAGAATAAGCCTCATACCTTTCCTCAAGTTTTACATTCCTTAATGTTATGATTAAAATCATATTTACTGTTTAGTCCAATGTACTAAAGAGAACAATTATTTGTCAATTTTAACTACTGTAAACTTCTACTTAAGCTTTATACACTGCATATTTACACTGCCCAGTGACAACACTGTTTTAGAGACAATATGATGCAGCCTAAAAAGAATGATTCCCTATTTAATTCTATTACTGTAGCACAGATTTAGGTTATTCAACAAAAAAGTTATCCTTTTCATTTCTGTTTATAAATTTAGGGATTCAACACATAGACAGCATATTTGTCTAAAAAAAAATTAGATCTGATGTTGTAATAACAAAAACAAGATAAATCTTGTCTTGATTTATGAAATACGTTTGGTTCTTCTACTTGATCTCATCTTAAAAGATCACATTTAAGTCCAAAACTTGGCGCTGGGAGGATGGCAGAGACAGATATTAAGAACAGTAGCACTCTTTCTTCAGAGTTATTTGTTAAAAATTACAGTTGATGTGCTTATCATCATGCCCAGAAAAACAGAAGAAAACTAGGAAGACTTCTCAGCTCTAATTATTACCCTACTGCCACACTCCACAATCTCCAGAGATGTAGCTGATACACTTATATTAAAAGTCAGCTAATTATCAGTGAACAGCATTTATTTCCTTTCAGAAATCTCAGACTCTTATCAAATGGCTGTCTCAGCATTTTTTATTTGAAAACATACAGTTCTAACCTGCATTATGTAATCCACGCTACTCTTCCATTACACAGTAAATGTATTGATTAGATTTTTTTGCCAAAGTAGTAACAAGAACAAAAAAGTTATTTTGGTATTCAAAGCAATAAGCATTAAAGACTCAACACCTCTTGAAAGCCCAAGATCATCAATACATGACATAAGCAGAATTCAGACAGACAAGTTTTCTCAGACCGATTTTGCACATAGAGAAATTATGATGCAAAATTTCAAGACTACCGTAACTGCTATTTTGAAAAACACAATCATATTCCATCAAAACTACAGTAGCAAAAATTAAGTGTTAAAATTGCTGCTCTGGGGCTTGGACAACTGCCTCTTATGTATCTACCTGCTAGTTCAGGATCTTGCAGGCTAAACACCACCAATGTAAAAACCACTTCAGCTAAACCTTACCTTGCTGTGGACATTCCAGCTGTCAAGTGTTACATTAAAAAGAGCCTTTAGTGCCTCAACAGCACAATCTGTCTCTTGCAAAGATAAAGGAGGCCTGTCATGATCTTCCACTGCTTTATACTCTTCTGTCCATCTCACATTCAGGGAACTTTCCAAAGCCTGAGTCAAAACTTGCACCCCTTGTAGTTCCTGACGCAACTGTGATCTAATATCTGTGTGCAGAAGTGACAAGAGGAAGAGGAGACGCAAATCAAAGCATTTAATGTCATCAACAAACTGTTGGTCCTTGCATTTTTCCAGAAGATTGCAGAGCATAGCCGCAAGATTCAGTTCCAAACTGAGCTTCTGTGCAACAGCACTATTAAAAATCACGTTACAGAGGCATTTTAAAGCTTCTACTATAACAGGAAATTCAGATACTCTCTCCAAAGGATCTTCCCCAGTGTCCAGCTTTGCTAGTCTCATAAGGATCTGCATGTTCCTTTTCGTAGTTACAGGCACTAAAACCTTCTTGTCCCTGGAGAGAATCCGGAGGGCCTCCAGGCAGGCAACTTGACATGAAGTTTCTGTATCTTTTTCAAGGATGTTTAGAATTCCCTCGCACAGTTTCTATGCAAACACAAACAAACAAAAAAGAACAGTTTTAGCATCAAAACATCAGTGGCAATAGGGAACTACTTCTGCTAAACTTCCATATAACTTTTGAGTTTCAAGCTGACCTGACTTGAGAAACTAGGTATTCTGTATTAGCTCTTCAAAATACAAACTATTGCAAAAGACCTCCAAAGATCATCAAAACCAGTTCTCATGGATACAATCCAAGTACATAAACTTTAGCAAAAGCATTAGGTCAAAATGGCAGATGCTATCCACCATTGCCAGTTACCAAGTTTTCTCAGTATCAGAACTAAAAACCTGAGTAGCCAGAGTAACAAAGCTAGAGAGAAGTGAAAGGTCTTAAAAATATGTCAAAGCAGAAGTCACACCTACAGTACCTGCAAAATTATAAGCTGCACTTACTTCAGTCAGGAGGCTGGGAGAAAAGAAACCAAACCAAAATAACTGCTGCTCAATGTACAAGCATTAGTACTCTGTGTTTGGTAACAGCTGTAATTCGTGTTGCCACTTCAACCTAATCTACGGCCTTCTCCCATCTTAAGTAAGACTCGTGGAAACGTTGCCTCTGACATAGAAGCATAATGCAGTTTTATTGGAAGACTTCGGCTGTAGCAGTTTTACCAAACCAGCAAAACTGCTGCTTTGTCAACACAGATTGCTCTTAAAGTCAAAAAACCTCACTGATACTTTATACCAACGTGACTGCATGAGTGAACAATCATAAATGCAGCATGAGAAAATACAACACTCCAAGGATCTGCAGATGAGAACAGTAACATCTGAATTACAGAAGAATTAGCTTTTATAAGACAGAAACGGACAATCAGGTGATGAATCAAAAGGGAGAAAAGACAGGACAGAAGAGGTTGCTTGGATGGGGGAGGACTCCATAGGGTTTTTATGCCTTAAGCTCAGAACAACATTACTACTCATGGGTATCAGATCCAGAAGTACAGTTACAGAGAAGTTCCAAGATAAGTGGGAATACAAACTGCATTGTACCTCACAGGATACAGTTTCTTCCCCCTTCTCATCCCAAAAGCTTTGTGCCTTGACCATTGACATGAATAAATTGCCAAAGCAGCCACAATAGCAACTGAGTTGAATAGCCCTAGTGCAGAAGTCCACTTAGGACCTGAAATTCCTACCATGGTCTCAGGCAGTATATGTCAATAAGGAAGTGATTTAAAAAGCATAGGAATACTAGTAAAGTAAAAAATAGTTCTTGGGGAAAGGTCTCTGAAATTGCACTTCTCAACACTACTACAACAAAAAGACAAGGAGCACAGGAGCCCATCACCCTGACCCTAAGTTCAAAACAAAAGTTCCACTTGGGACATCCAAGCAAATGTTGATACTGTGATCACTTACAATCAAAGCCAAAAAAAAAAAAAAAAAGATTAAGTCTAAAGCAAATCAAGAACAGATACTCCAGAAGAACAAAGGAGAAAAAAACCACAAGTCTTCAATAATGTTAAAAGACAATCTGTAAACAAAGTCAGACAGTAGGAACTCACAATATGATTTCTAGTACGCTTGTCCTAGGGTGAAGCCCACCCAAAAGCACCACCCAGACAATCAAGACCTTGACTACATTTCCACAGCTCTGACTAGACTAATCCAGTAAGAGTCTGAAAACAAGAAACGAGGTCCACCTCTTACTATCACACAAGCAACATAAGAAATCTTCATCAGAGTATTAGAGACACTGTAGTAGTATAAAACCCACGTTTGACCACCTATGCGAGTGTATAGGTACTTACCATGGGAATTTCATAGACAAGTACCTAGAAAAAGATACTCAAGTACAGAGTTTTCAGAGTTCTTCAACATTAACCTAACGCTGCTCCCAGAGTTGTACAACGCCCTGACTTGAGCATAGCACGCTAGACCTGCACTAAATGTTTCTGAAGGTGGCATCTTTGAAGTGCTTTTAAAAAAAAACACCAAGGAAACAAAAAATGACCAGTTGATATCCACAGTCCACAGAACTCCAGGAAAAGGCCAGTTTAATTTGTTCCCTGTTTAAGCATGTTTCTATTAAACTTAGCAGTTGCTGACATCAGCTGCTACAAGGTGGTCTGTAATAATTTACCCAAATTCAACAGCCAGTTCACCAACTGGACTCTCCCTGTCTTCAGGAACTGTGTAGGAGTACCATATTAAGAACACAAGAAGCCAAGTTACCAGCCTTCCCCAAACCAAGATGCTGAACAAACACTTCAAAGACATACTGTCTTATCAGTAAATAAATACAGCACAAAAACATATCTGATTTTTCATTAACAGTGCTGAAGGTTTCTTCTAGAACTTTAAATACCAAGGATCACTTCATAAATTATCTGATCTGATCAATATCCATTGAAGTTAAGGGGAGTTTCCACTCATTTTTGTTAGCAGCAGAGCCTATACACATCTTGCACCTGGTGCTCTGGTCTTTAATCTCAGTCAGATAAAACCTAAACGCTCATTTGACTACAAAGAGACCAATCCTTCCAAATTCAGACTTTTTTTTTTTTTTTTTTGTAAGTTGCATCTACCTGCTGCTATGGAATTGTCACAGCAAAATGTCAAAAGCACTGCAGGGGAGATCCCAAAGGGCACCAAACTCCCACAGACTTGGCCGTGGGAGGTGGAAGCCTAACCCTCCCTCCATACATTTGAAGACTATCCTTGGATTTAATTAAAGATTATAAAAACCATCATCTCATAGCTTCAAACCTTACTGAAATGCAGCAATAGAAGATTCTTAACTCTGAATAGCTGTACTAAAGATACATAATAGAACACAAGCATTTTGTTTCAGATTTAGCAATCTACTTACAACTTAAAAAACCCAAACCATTGGTGTGCTTGTAAGGCACTTCATTTCTTAAAGCGTTCCTGAAGCCTTGGCTGTATAAAAGATTTCACAATACAAGCAAGGCTTATTATTTATTTTAAAAAGCATTAATTATATAGCCTTATGCATACTATATTAAGAACTAAGCCATCACACACTTAAGAGTAAGTTACTAAGCTTCCTAGCCATTACATCTTAAAAAAAATGTATTTTGCTGTAAGACTCACATAACTGAAAAACACAAAAGGACTGCTGACGAAGTTCGCTGGAGTTAGACCCTGGTAAGCCATCAAGAGTGATTTTAAAGGGACCAACATTCTGTTACGATACTGCCACTTGCAATACTACTGAAAATCTGTGACAGTGAATCACTACTGGCTGATCTCAGGTGACAACAGGAGCTAGGAAAAAAATAGAGCATCTGATTATGTTTGAAGAGGTTACCCATGGCAAGTTTTGAAGCAAGAAAACAAAATTCATCCTATTAAACTGCCTTGGAGAAAACTAAAACCAAACATCATACAGCACATTTTCTGCTTTCTTCTTGACAGCATGAGAAAAAGTATGTGCAGAGAGAAGAGAAACAGGAAAGGACAGAACCAACACAAAAGCATTATCATCCTTTTCATTTTCTTTAGGTGGTGCTTTTTCCACCCCTCTGTGGACCATTAGCATGGAATAAACTAAGGAGCTTGGAAATGAAAGCAAGTAAAAGAATTCAGATAGCAAGGTACCTCCCCTTTCATGTAATATATTACGATCATCCTAGCTTCAGAGTTTTATTGCTACCTCTTAAATTATTGTACAAATTTAACATTTCCTTTTTTGAGTTCTATCCTTTCAACATTCAGAAGTGAGTTTGACTTTCATCAGTTGTGCTACAAAGGAAGTGTTTTTCCATAGAACCAGGGCAGGTTCTAGTACTTTTTTTTTTTTTTTTTAATTGTAAAATACATTCACTTCTCCAAAACTCAAGAATTCTCAGCTTTCATGCTAACAGCAAAGTTAAGAGCAACACACATCACTCCTTTTGTCCATGCCGTAGTGTGAGTAATGTTAAAACATTTTTAAATTTTACTGCGTGCTAAAACAGGAAGCCTAGAAACACCCATTTGTCATCTTGTCTTGACGAGTAAAACATTCATCCATTTTGGTTCTTTATTCTGATAGCATGAACGCTTGATGCTAAGAAGCAACACAGTCCTATAGAAAACGCAATATTCTGAAATACAAGAGACGTGCATTTTCTTCTTTGCTTAGCCACAGACCTATTGCGTGGCTTTGGGCAAGAAGGTATCATCTCTTTACTTCCATTTTCCTTTCACCATCTTTGTTTACAGGTTCATTAGATGGGGGGGAGCGGACAGGAGAGGGGAGCACTGTAAGTGCTTATTAGCAGGTGCTTATATTTTCCAGGCTCAACCTCAGCTGGGGATACTAGGTGCTTGTGAAAAACAGGGTACTCCATGATGTTGCTCTCTGATCCTGGGATGCCTGCATGTGAGGTCCTTTTCTACCTCCTCTCTTTGTGTTCAAAGATGTTTAGAAAGTACACTTGACCTATATCCACTTTTTTCAATTCACAGACCACTAAACTTTGGCCACAGTATGTAAGTTGAATTTACTGTAGCTTGTCAACACCAGAGTAATAAATGTCTTGGTCAGAAATGGAGACAATTTCCCCTTATTCGCTCCTTCTCCTTTGGCAAATCATTCTCTTTACTTATACAGGCCTTTGGATTACAAGAGGAACAAGAGAATACATTCTCCATTCTGCAATTATCCAAATCCAAGCAAACAACACTGCTTTACTGAATACAGCATTTAATTTAGACACAGATTACTCAGTGCTAGTGAAGCTGCAATTCAAAGGTGAACACCACCACTTCTGCTAAACATTATAGAAATATCTCTCCTTTTCTGCACCTTTATTTTTGAATTAGGCCATAGATGCTGTAAATACCAGAAGGGGTATGCTGCAAATACCAGAAGGGTATGCTGCTTAGCATTCAAGTTTAATTTAAAGCAAGGGAGGCAAAAAAAAAAAAAAAAAATAAATCAACTGTTAAATTGACTTGGAAATACATGTTGCTCCCGTTTTCCACTTTCCTCACTGACAGAGCATATTAGTAACAAAATTGCCTGAAAA